CTCAAGCCCCAATCACCCAACAACCAAATCCACTTAAATAAGGTTCAAACAAGCCTAAATAATCCCCAAAATGTCCACTTCCAAGTCATTAGCACTTGAACTCAATTAGTGAAACACTTAGACAAAATTTCACAAATTCGGTGCCCCATGAACAGTACCAGGAAAATCAACACTTTGGCACTAAACCACCTTTAAACCAACTCATTAGGGCCTAATCACTTACCCTAATCATTCAACCACTAAATATACATAATTAAGCCTCAAATAAGTTTAATTGATCCCTACAATGACCAATCCAAGGTCATTATCAATTGAACCCAAATAATTTCACACTTAGACAAATTGCACAAATTCGGTATTCAATGAACAGTGTCAGAACAGGACTCCAATTAGGCCATAATCCACCTCTAACTTACTTCATTAGGCACTAATTAGGCCCCCTAATCACCCCACACCACATTAGGCATATCTAGACCATGATTAGGCTTAATTAACCCCCTAATTACCCTCTAAAATGCACAAATAAACTAACTAAGGGTTTAGGGGTTTATACTCGCCTAAAATCGACTCGAGGCGACGGGAGCGGGCGGTCGATTACCGACACGCGGTGAGAATCGACGGCGGCGCTCCGGTGGCAAGCCGGCGGTCACGGCGGCGCCGGTGTGATTCACGGCCACACTCCCAACCGGAACAGGGGAGCTGCTGGGCGTACGGGCTGAGGATGGTGGAGAGAGAGACGGTGAGGGTGAGGTGGTCGACGAGGGCGGCGCACGGCGGTGGACGGCGGCGTGGTGCCGGCGAGGTGAAGACCGGCGGTGTTTCTCTCCCTCCCTCGCCTGGAACAGCTGCTGTGGGGCGGACAATGCAGAGGGTGGGGCTGGTCGACGAGGGTTGGGGCGGTGCCAGGGGGTGCGGTGCGGCGGCCGAGGACAAGCCGGCCGGCGCGGCTGTTCCCGGCGTGAACAGGTGGCCGGCGGAGCGAACGACCGAGGAGTGGCGTGAAGAAGACGATCGTGAGGCCGCTCGGGAGAGAGAGAGAGAGAACGTGAGCTGAGAGGTCTGAGGAGAGAGAAGAAACAAGTCAAAAGTGGTCAAACTTGGGTGAGTGGAATCCAAGTGTCAACAATCCAAGGGTTTGGACAATTTGCCCTTGAATCCAATGGCTTAGGTTCACTTCTCTCCAATAATTCAAGGGTGAGAAGGTCAAATGCCCCTAACCAAGGCTGACCAGGTCTGGTTTGGTCCACTTAACCTTAGTTAGTCCCCAAATTTTATCCAAATTTCGGAATAAGTTAAAATGGCCTAGGGGCATTTTCGTAATTTTCCGATCCCGGACCGAAATTTCAATTTTTGTCCATACCGGTCCTATATGTTCACGGGAGACATAATACGGTGTCGGATTCGCGAAATTCACTTTCTACGCCTTCGAAAATCGCCTGCGAAGTCCCGGGAATAAAATAATATTATTTTTCCAATTTTTTGCCGAAATTCCCGTTTTTGTCCAAAACCACTCTAAATGTACGTGGCCACTCCAAAATGACCTTGGCCGCGAAAAATAAACTCAAACGGCCTCCGAATCCCGCCCCGGTGCCCACGGGGGCAAAACCGTAATTTTCCCAATTTTTGTCGAAATTCCTATTTTCAGCCGGTCTTGTCCCAAACTTACTTGGCCACTATAAAATGACGTCCGTCCTATAAAATAGTCATAATTACCCTTGAAATTTTGATATCGGAGTTCGGCTCAATATCGCGATCAAAATAACTCGTTTTGAAATCTTAGGATCTCTCACTAACGGGTGGCCATTTAGGTGTTACGCGTATCGACCTAAGACTGTCCGAGTCTCGATAGTCTCAAATCTCGAGAGAAGGTGAGAGATTATCACTAGTACCGGGGGTCGCGATCGTTCGGATATAATTTGGGATTTGTTTGTCAGGCGTACTTTCGGTCGTGCGGAATCACCCGCGATCCAATCGTACGTTACTAACTATATCAAATCTATTATCTTCCTAAGATCGGCCCATATTGGCTCAAGATATTCCCTCGACGTTTCTCGAAATCAGTGTCCAATCGCGATCGTCTTTCTCGGTCCACGTACCTGTTCCTATTTTAGCCTTTCCCATTTGGTTAGTATCCCGTGATTGATCAAGTCCGGGCGAGACTCACTAAAATCACACGAGAATTAATATACGCTTTACTGGTTCCGATAGCGGGTCAAAATTCAGGATGTTACAACTCTTCCCCCCTTACAAAAATTTCGTCCCCGAAATTTGTACTCTAAACTTGTTCCTCGAACAACTGGGGGTGTTGACGTCGCATGGCCTCCTCGCTTTCCCATGTAGCGCCTTCCATCCCATGGTGTTCCCAGACTACCTTGACCATCGAAATCGTCTTATTCCGTAGTACTCGATCCTTCCGATCTTCAATTCTGACTGGTCTCTCCACGTACGATACCCTGTCGTCCACGTCTATTTCTTCATATCTTAGGACGTGTGTCGGGTCTGGTTCATACTTTCTCAACATCGACACGTGGAAGACATTGTGTACCTGGGACAAGTTAGGTGGCAGGGCAAGCCTATACGCCATAAATTTTTGTCCTAGCAGCTACAAGAACCCTTTCAGGAAAATTGTCCAACCAGTTATAAATTTATTGTACGGATACTAATTCAATCATAAATTTTTCATTTTTGCCAATTGAGTCTTAAACCTTTACTTGAAATTCCAATGTAATCTTTCTGGTTAATTTTCGTTAGAAATCAATAACGCAACAGTATGCTACATAGGATGGTAAGCAATAATTGGACTGTCATGCTAGTAATTTTCAACAAAATTAACATAAAGGACTATATTGGAACTTTGTGCAAAATATTTATAACTAAATTGATAAAATTGGAAAGTTTGTGACTGACTTGACATCCAAGCTATAGATTTACGATTGCTTGGGTAATTTTCCCACCCCTTTCCAAGACTTCGTTTGTATCATGGAAAACATTTTCCGGCATTTAGATCGCTTAGAAAATTGAGTTAATGGACAATCTATACTTAAATTCAGGAAAATGAATTCTAAAATATGACTAAATATTAACACTTGGACTAGAAACTTTACGTTTGGGCACAGGAAACCCAAAGCTCATTCTCGGGCTCTTGGCAGGGAACCCACGTATAAAGGCCGGGGTCAGGACCATTGGGGTCAATCAAGGCCAAGCTCGGGTCCAAAAAGGTTGGGCTTGGAACCCTGGTGCTTAGGCCCAGGTCCACAAGGGTGGGGCTCGAGACATTAATGCCTAGGCTCAGGTCTACAGAGGCGGATCCTAGGACCTCGGTACCCCTACTCGGAGCCTTGGTCCGTGTCCACAGAGGCCGAGCCTAAGACCTTGGTGCTCTTGCCCGAATCCTTAGCGCCTAAGCCTGGGTCCATTAAAGTTGGGCTTAAGTCCACGGAGGTTGGGCTTGAGACCTTGGTGCCAATGTCCCAGGTATATCGAGGCCAGGCCTGGGTTATAAGCGCCTGGGCCTCAATCCATGGAGGCAAGGCCCAAGTTCACTGGGGCCGGACTCAAAACCCTAAAGCTTATGCCTGGATCCCTAGCAACTGCGCTCGGGCGCCGAGGCCTATGCCCGGGTCCATTGAAAATAGACCTAGGATCCTGGCTATCTATGGACAAGTCACTAGTGCCCAAACAGTAAATGTCTATTTAAGAAAATCAATCAGATTTTCCACACCAAACGATGGAAAATATTTTCCAGTTCATTTTTAGGTTTTAGCTAAATACTGAAAAATATTGTTGTTTTTCTGTAAAATGGCTTCTGAGTAACCACAAAAAATGTATTTAATTTCTCTTATAAGCGTGAAATTACTGTATTCAAAATCTAACCCTTCCTTACCATGATTTGTTGATAAGACAATTCGTAACATATCTTGGAGACGGGCGTGCATACTCTTTTTTTTTGTTTTTTGGTAAGGAGGCGTGCATACTCTTGATTACAAGGTAAATCAATAGAAACTATTTCGAATTCCTTCAACATATGCACATGTTTGCAGTCTCTGGGCATCGATATGCTAAACCAATTTAGCTAATTCCACGAGGATTGTACGCATTAGCATCATATTTATGAGAACGGCCAGCGATTCTCTTGAAATTGAACTCCTCCAGATTTTTCTGACAAAATTTTAAAGTTTTACAATAATATAAAAAGGAAGAACCATACAAAGATTTTAAAATTTAGTAACTCCATGCGATAGATAAAAAGCTGCTCCAACCACGTGACCCTGGAAAACTACATACATTGGAGATTGGACTTATAAAAGCCAAATGAACCGGGTCGTCAACGCAAATCTAAGCATGTTCACGTGCACTGTGTCATAACAATCCTCACCATGGCTGTGCGACGGCGAGGCTGGCCCTCGCCGCCCCTCGCCGGCCTCAGCCTCTGGCCGGTCGCCGGACTGGCGACCGGGGAAGAAAAAAGGAAAAAAAAAAAAAGAAAAAGGAAATGACAAAATTGCCCCTATTCCGGCGTCGGAAACTCGCCAGCCGATGAATATTTGGCCGGCCGGCGAGTCAGGTCCTTATTTGAGACTAGTTTGAGCACTTCAGATCTTTATTTGAGATATTATTCACTTCGAACTCTTTTTTGATAAAACAGCCCCACTTTGAATCCTTAATTGAAATTTTCCTTTCTTAATTTAATTGCTAAACCAATGGCGGCAGCAGTTGTTCCGGAGTGTGCAGCAAAGTTGGTTTCTTTGACCTTTTGTGGTCACCTTCTTGCTTTCAATATTTGGTACTCTCTCAAAGAAATCGGACCCTTATTGTAATCTTCACTATCTCTTTATTAAAAGTCCAGATCTTGACGGACTCTACGATTGCAAGCCGAAATCTGTCTATACTGAATACATTTTTCACCGGTGGGTGTACAAGTCTTCATCGAAAGCTGATTCCTGAACTTGGTCCCCAGATTTTCATCTGCAAGTAAGCGATAATATTCGATCGTCAGGAACATGGCAGTCGCAGGGGAATTAACTGTTCCTTGTGGTCAGATCAGTTCAAAGATCGCAACTTTCAATGCCAAGAGCCAGATTTTTGGTGTGCCCATGATTTCTTGTTCTGGAGGGAAACTGAAGAGTAGGATGTCTACTGGAGTTAGAGCAGTATTGCAAATGGGAGTGGGAGCAGCTGAGAGTGGGAGCAAGGTTGGGGGTGCTTTAGGTTTTGATGTGGTGTCGGAGGAAGAGTTGAGAGAGAAGGGGTTTCTGGGGATGAGGAAGACAAAGCTCGTGTGCACTATTGGCCCTGCTTGTTCCTCCTTGGAGGATCTGGAGAGGTTGGGATTCGGAGGGATGAATGTGGCGAGGCTCAACATGTGTCACAACTCGAGAGAGTGGCATTTGGATGTGATCAGGAAGATCAAGAAGTTGAATGAAGAAAAGGGATTTTGTGTTTCGGTCATGATTGATACCGAGGGCAGTCAGATCCATGTCGTTGATCATGGTGCTCCTTCCTCTGTCAAAGTAGAGGTCAGTGTGCGACAAAGGGATCACTTAATGCTTCATAGTTCAGGAAGTGTCGATAATCCGGACTTCTTTTTTGTGAAATTTTGTCTGGTCTGGTCTGCATTTATGTTTAAGCTTCATCTTAATTGAAGATACATTAATTTGCTTAATCCTATTCTCATGGTGCTTTGTTTTGCTATGAGAAAATTAGGAAGGATCAATCTGGTTATTTACTACCAAAAAGTTCGAGGGTTCCCGCCCTTTCACTGTCCAAGCAAACCACTCCGGTTTTTCTGAAGGTACGAGTTACTGCATAGACAGTGGAGCCTTTTAATGTAATTGACATATTTTGACGTCTAACCATCCCTCTCTATGTTGAACGTGAACTTTCGCAGGTATTGAGGTTGGTGATGAGCTCGTTATCGATGGAGGCATGGCAAGTTTTGAAGTCATTGAAAAGATTGGGAATGATTTGAAGTGTAAGTGCACAGATTCTGGTTTGTTTCTTCCTTGCGCAAAGTTCAGCTTTTGGAGAGATGGGAAGCTTGTTGAGAGGAATTACAAATTGCCTACTCTGTCAAGAAAGGTGGATTTCATAATCCTGGTTTCTTGTTTTTATTCCTCAGACTTTGGACGTTACTGCTTTCAGTAGTTCTTTGTCTATTTAAGTGTGTTGTTCTTGCTTTAATGTGGACATACTGCGTGGCATTTATTCATTGCTGGGTCGTTGCATTATGTAGTCGACTGTAAGAAAACATGAGAAAAGGAGAAGACTACATTCTCATGCATTACCATTTGTGCCGAGAAGGGAGAAAAGTTGGTTCTGGCAAACCGCAAATAGCCCAAGTATGACCTTGCCGGAGCTTCATTTGTAAAATTTTGTTGCCGCCCCTTATTCCTTTCTTCTGAAGTGGGAGATTCATAATACTGTATGTTGAAGAGTTATCCAGGTGTTACACATGCTATATCATTATTTCTTAGCGCACGGTTGTGGGGCTAAAAATTTGCCACATGACCTCAGCACTTCATTGCAATGTATTGATACCATTACCATCTGAATCCTTGATACTTTCGCGTTTGATGGAAATGGTGGTTAATATAAAACTGAGAAGTGAGCTTAAGCTTACGAGGATGGATATGAAAAAGGACTCTTCTGCTGGGAAGTATACTACTGGAGATGAGTTGATTATCATGCTGGTTTAGGTTCTCTCTTCCTGATTCCCACTACTTCAAAGCAACAGATGAACATATATCAGAAAATTCTAATTCGATGCACCTGAATCTTCTCATTGTCATTAAATAATCAGATTGTTTTGCTTAGATGGTGAAATTGCACTGCAAGCCTGCAATTGATGATCTCAATCTTGTTAGTTCACTGTATTATATGGTTGATTTGCAGGATTGGGCTGACATAGACTTTGGAATTGCTGAAGGTGTAGACTTCATTGCAATGTCATTTGTCAATGATGCTGATGCAGTCAGCAACCTTAAGGATTACATTTCCACCAAATCATCCAAGTAAGTTGAAGTGGTGCATAAAGTTCACAAGAAGGAAGTTCTGTAATCTCCTTTTCTACAATCATATGGAACCTCCTGATATTGGAATCCAAAACAATATTTCTTTCTCATTTACCAGATCTATTAGAGTATTGGCAAAGATAGAGAGCCTAGAGTCTCTTCAGAAATTGGGGGAGATTGTCGAAGCTTCCGATGGTATCATGATTGCTCGGGGTGATCTTGGAGTGGAAATCCCCCTGGAGCAGATTCCCACAGTCCAAGAGGAGATAACTTATGTCTGCAGGCAAATGAATAAGCCTGTGATTGTGGCTTCGCAACTTCTCGAGTCCATGGTCGAATTTCCTACTCCAACCCATGCAGAGTTCCTCCACCGTAACACCCATTGCTTTAGATATCTCATCCATCCGCCCGCGGCTAAGGTCTAGGAACGACTCGATGAGATCTCCGTCCAGGAAATTCCGAGCATCCACGGTCTTCTGCCCATTGTAAAACGACCTCCACTGCTCATGGCTCAGTCGCCCAACGCCTTTAATTACCTTTCTCAAGTTTGACTGAAGCTTCTCTAGAAATACGTACTGATCACGAGGGAGCGAGGCAATCACTCCAATCACGCCATTAACCGTGCCAAATATGACGGTCGGAATCTGACCCACATCGGAATCCGGCAACCGCATCACAAGGGAACCATGGCGGAACCGGTTGACGAATTCTCCAAGGTGATACTCGCCAATCCACTCAAGAGAGCCCCTATCCCAATCGGCGGCATCTTCGCTGCTCTTCCTCACTGTGAAGAGGTTGAAATTATTTTTCGCACCAAGATAAGTATCATCATTGAGAATCTCAACGGCAGATATATAATTTGCACTGTAATCATGTGCCCGCTTCTCAATGGCACCCTCCTCAAGCTGGATGACAAAATGAAGGAATGGTAAGTCCAAAAGAGTGGTTAAAACTATGGTCGAGACCAAGAGTTTCTTCCATGTAGAACAAAGGGTTGAATTTAAGTTCGGGTTACACCGAGAAACCAAGGACGTGTACTTTCTCCATATAGACCAAACCCTCTGGTACTACTTTTTCAAATTCCATGCAATCCCCCTCATAAACAACTCGAAAAAATATATTATGCTTTTGAAATACACATGAAACAGGGGCTATGAACATGGCAACCCCGATTTGGCTGTGCACAGATTCAAAGGCAGATGTTGGGAATTTCCCGATTGAGAAAACATGATAAAATGTTTGTTATAGAATTCTTAGAGATTCAGACTTGTGCTCGCGTTCATGTCTAAAGGGACAACTAACGATTATAATCACGTGACTGTTGTACAAGGTAAAAGGGTACGGACAGGAGGAGATATCTTTGCAAATGTCGTGTTAAGATTGAAGATCATGAAGGAAAGAAACTCCAGAAATGTATAAGCACTCTAAACTGATAAAATAACTTGCCTTGTATATCAGCAGGGATGTTGACCCCTGATGTATTGACCCCATCCGATGACCAACAACAATGAAGTCTCCGCGAGTTTGTACATGGAGGGCAAGTTCGGGACCGTGACGTCCACATTCGGATTGCAATTCACGAGAACTATCATCTCGCAGCATCCACTTGTACAATTGAATTTCTTTATTGATTGCAGCTAATAGCTTTCCATTAAAGGCGTTCAAAGAGCAAACAGCCCCCTCGGTCTCTTTTTCAGCAATCAGCTGTAATTTCCCATCCTCAACAATGAAAACTAATATCCGACCCTGCATTTAAAGTAAGACATTTAGAATTTTACTAATCTGCAGAATAAATAGCAAATTGGCTTCATGCATGATGCATCTAACCTTGGTTGGATCCTTTTCTTCCAGCAACATATACGCAGTCCCAACACAGTCATATACGTTACCGTCATCAGAGAAGGAACAACTAAGTATGGAGCAACCATGCTCAAATGTATCAAGTGGGTAAGTGGACATGAACTCAAAAGTCTGGTCATCTAAAAGCCGAACAAAATGCATGTCAGATTCTTCAGCACTTGACTGGTTGTACTTCATGCTACAAATTGCAAACGTCCTAGACCGCTCCTGATGACAAATGCGCCGTGCATGCTCCCCGAGGGGGATAGAGCGGATGTGAAGCTTCTGGATATCATCGATGGTACCAATGGTAAGCTCGCCTTCTTTCGCAATTGCAAGACTGTCGATGGAAAACACAAGTCATTAAGAATAGATCATCTATTCATCATATGAAACAAGGGGTTTAATCCCATAGTTTTACACAGGTGTGGAGACTTAAATGGAGAGCAGTGGAAGAGATCAATTCAATCACCCTCAATAACTGCCTAGATGAAGTAAGATAAACATAATTACACAAAAGACAGATTGAGGTCATTATGTTCATTGAAAAGAGAGCCCCCGTTAAGAACTCAAGTCAAATTCTGTAAGCCAGCATCTAAAATCAACAGCTTAAAAAATAGCATACTTCAAGAAACAAGTATCTGTTTCACGCCACAAACACAACCGATTAACATCTAAATTTCTTCATCCATTCTCTTCAGTCTTCACTATATCAGCAAACAAAGAACTTTTTATGTCAAGAAGTAGCACCGAATGACCATCAAAAAGATTTCATCCTAAAAGAGGATCTCCAGCATATGCTAATAGTACTATGAAAAATTTCCACTATCTATCACCATTGCTCAAAATACCTGTCAGGAAAAGCAGCAGAGTTGAATTGGCACATGTGGCTCACTTCTTTGAGATTTACATTACCGTAGAGTAACTTTTTGTTACTGCTGTAAATGACAGTTGGCCTATCTGACGCAGCAAATACTTGTGTAGTATTTTTTGATGAGAACGTACGGAGGGTAATGGGCTGAGTCCCGAGAGACACCTTCTTCCTATCTGTTAACTCACCAGAATGCATGTTCAATTGAAAGTTCAAGAGATGACCATCTCCAAGGGCACATAAGAGGTAAGATATCTGTTAAGGGAAAGATGAGAAAAGAGCGATAAGCAAAAAGAAAATAAACCGGTGCTTAACCACTATATGATCCTGAAAATACAAATACACAGTTTGAGTTCCCAGCCTACACGTCCCACTTGTTTTTTATTAAGGAAATGAAAATGTTACCAGTCAAATCAACAGAAGGCACAAAATTGCCTACAAGTGTTCATTCGTATTCACATAATCTCATCCAGATACCTGGGTTTAGATATGAAACATGGACAAAATTGTACATAATAAACAATGGAGAAGCTTAAGATGTAAGGCAAAAAACAAAAGGAATGCATCATACCCCTTCAAAGGCACAAAGCAGAACAGAACGAGGTATTATTTCTCCTCCCAAATTCTCCTTGGTAATGAGATTCAAGTCTAGCGATGAAAATATCCTTATACTTATATCCGTCCACATTCCAACTGCTGCCAGCTGACTGTAATGGATATTCTCCCCGATGGGATTAATGTCAAGGCATGAGATCTCATATTCTAGCTGTACATGTTTAATTTCTTCCAAAATCCCATCGCCGATTTCTAGATAAACGAGATTACCACCTCCAGTTGCCAGTAGAACCTGTCGTTACAGAAGGTCAAAAAGAATGCAAAGGTACCTTCATGCAAGCATGTATGTGCACATCTATTACAAGAGGCAATTAAGATTCTTCCATAGATTGCCAAGGGAAAAGAAAATGGCATGATGAGGCTGGAAATCAAGAGACCAACTCATGCAAAAGCCAAATAAGCCATAAAGCAAAAGAAAAAAGAGGAGCAGAATCGTCAAGTTTTATGCCAGTCATCACGCTTGACGGTATGTAGAGCATAGCACAATTTGCATCAATTAAAAGAAAGACTTGATCAGTGAAGAACTGATTTAAATCTATATACCACCAGGAACTGTTCTATAACAGAGAGTTAGCCAAAATATATAGTCAAATAAAGTCATAGACTTCTTGGTCCATGCCACTTTCAATAATTTCTGTGTGCACGGACACAACAGGTCAACCACCTGTTGAGGAAAAACATGGAAGATTATATGATATTCCCGTGTCAATGCTCATCACTAATTCACAAGAAGAAAAAACTTCACATGAACACATGAACAAAGAGAAAAATAATAGAAAGAGATTTCTCAACCATGGAGATGGCACACATTATTACCTTCAAATAAGCTAACAATAGATCGGGTTCACAAATTTTGCTGTAGCTAACTTAAATAAAAGGAGAAGAAAGTTCATACAAAATGTTACAGACTATGAAGCTCTACTACATGCAATAGATATCACAGACAAAGATAACACCATGCATCTAACTTCATGCATCGTTTCCTATCCCAATTTTCTGCTCATAAAGGAGCAGCGATATCATTCCAATCAACATGTGTCCCAGCAAGATATACCACCCAAAAGCGTAAACCGTATATTTAATTGATTCTTTCTGAAGCAAGTGACCATTTTCAATCATAAGCTTCTTATGAAAGTAATCCAGGTGATATTGCATTTAACATCAACCAATGGACATCGATACCACATGAGACATGGCTGAGCCCAAAATTATAAGACCTAGCAACTTCTTTGAAAGGACAAACCTGAGTGGCATTAGCAGTGGCAACAGTAATAGAATATCCTTCTGGAGAATGCCATTCATTCCTCAGCTCTCTCGTCATAGAGCTTACAAGTCTCGCAGAGCTTGAAGTCACCTGCAATAGGGATTATCAGCCACCAAAATTGACTACATATGCAAAGAAGAAATGAAAGCAAACAGGGCAACGGAAGTTATAGGTGCAGTCAAACAATAGCATTCTTGAATTTCAAAAGCAAGTAAAGCTTAAAGGATTGAAAATATTTCCTGCCAATCTTACAGCTCTAGTTCATTAACTGGTTTGTAAACTCATCTTCCAAGCCTTCCCAGAGAAAGTTCCTAAAAGACTTCCTTTTCATTGGGTTGCAGGAGTTTAAGTGTAACTAGTTGGGAAAGAGCAACGACAAGTATGAAGTACAAGAGGAGGAAAATTGCATTCCTCT